ATAGCTAGTCCATTTTTCTCCAAAGGATTGCTTTGGATCAGAGTACTTCCTTTCTGGTTTCTTTATTTTTGCAGATTTACGGGCAGGAGCGTAACCACGAGTTAGCTCATTCAATGGTTTGACGACAGCAGCATAGTCTTTAATAAATCTTCTGTAATATCCGGCAAAACCCAGAAAAGATCGCAACTTTTTAAGGTTGCGGGGGACTGGCCAGGATTTTAAAACTTCAATCTTTTCTGGATCAGTTTCTACTCCCTTTTCAGAAACAACATGTCCCAAATAACGAACAGAAGATTGAAAGAACTTACATTTCTCTGGTGAGAGCTTTAATCCAAACTGCTTCAATCGGGAGAGCACCCGCAGCAGCCGTTCCTCATGCTCCTCCAGAGTAGCAGAAAAGATTATGAGGTCGTCAAGAAAAACGAGGACTTCATTAAGATGCAGATCTCCCATGCACCTTTCCATTAGCCGCTGAAACGTGCTGGGTGCATTTGTGATTCCTTGTGGCATTCTGTTCCACTCCCAGAATCCAAGGGGGGTTACAAAAGCTGTTTTAGCTTTATCTTCTTCTGCCATCTCTATCTGGTAATATCCAGATTTTAAGTCCAACACAGTGAACCACTTGGACCCTGTCAAGGCTGAAAATGATTCCTCCAAATTAGGAAGGGCATATGCATCTTTAATAGTTTGGAGATTAAGTTTTCTGTAATCTACGCATAGCCGGATGGAACCGTTACGTTTTCGAACAACCACTATTGGAGATGAGAATGGTGATTTGGACTCTCTTATGATGCCAGCTTCAAGCAGGTCCCTCAGATGTTCTCGGACTGCTTCCAGATCTTGGGGATGGATTGGCCTTGTTCTTTGTTTAAAAGGTGTCTCATCATGAAGTTTGATGTTATGCTGAACAGCATCTGTACAGCCAAAATCCATATCATGATGGGAGAATACTTCAGGCATACTGTTCAGTTTGTTAATAATGTGTTCTTTCCACTTAGGTGGAATGGGAGAATCTCCAAAGTTGAACTCCAAAGTTGTCTGTTGTGCTTTTTGAGAAGTAATTTGCTGTGACAGAATGGTGGGTGCTGACCCAATGTCTGCAATAATGGTCAAAGGGGAAATAAACACATCTTGACCTGATTCATTCTTCATGATTACAGGAACTTTATTTGGTGAATGTTGTGGCAGGGTTATTAGACAGCTTTGGACACACAAACCCCCTGGCAGAGATGAACTGGGATGTTCAATAATGGCCCACTTACTTGCAGATGGAGGGGTGATTTTAACAGAACCCTCCAGAACCATAGTCTGGCCAGCTGGGACAAGAACTGGAGTGGTGCTCAACAGCCGACAAATTCCTGCATTGCCTGATTTATTTTGCTGGTGCTTTAACTGTAGCAGCTTCAGGACTGCTCGATACCCTTGGGCAAAGGGCATAAAATTAACATGGTCACTGCCAAGGTGTTGTTCATACAATGGTTCCAGGGTGTTCATGCCAATAAGTAC